CCATAGAACTCTCATCAAAATGCAAGGCGGCTCGGCTCGTAGCTTATATTTGCACGTTGAAAAAGTGTGGACGATGTGTGAGATATCAATATCTACACCGTAAGCGTACGTCGTAATCGTATCTAGCGCGTGTTACGCCCTCCACCTTGCGCCTGGTTGCGGGCGCGGTTGCGCTAGGGCCTGGAGTCGCGGGCGGTCGCGGCAGCGTCCTTCAGCACGCACTTCGCCATCTGGCGGGCGACGGGCAGGGGGAGGGAGGACGGGGGGGAGTGGGGGGGGGGGGGGGGGGGGGGGGGGGGGGGGAAGAGGAGGTGCTGTGTGTATATGTGTACTATATAAATATGTATATATATATATATGTACTATGGGCATACCGTATAATATGTATGTGTATTTATATACGCATATGTTGGAGGGAAGATGAATGGATGCAAGAGAAGAGGACGGGGCGGTGCACGGGGGCGCCAATATAATCGCCTCTCTCGGGTCGCGGCCTGGGCCGAAGAGCCGCCCTTGTCCAAGGCGGCCCCGCGGCGGGGGGGGGGAAGGGTGCTCCTCCTCCTCCTCCTCCTCCCCCCCCCTCGTCCTCCTCCTCCTCCTCCTCCTCCTCCTCCTCCTCCTCCCCCCTCGAAGACGACGACTACGGCGACGACGACGATGGGGAAGGAGAGTGGAGGATGATGCAATGCATGATGAGGAAGAATGAACGACGGAGGAAGAGAAGGGGGCGGCTTCGACAGTCGACTTTTTTTTCCGACAGTCGATTTGTGCCATTTTTTTCCGACAATCGAATTTTTGTTTTTGTTTCAGCTACGCGCCCCTGCCATGATAGTAAGGCACGATGATCTTCACGGTCGATGGTGGAATGCGCATGTATACAACGGGCCTGACAATCGACGTCGGGTACAAGAACACGTCTGGCGTCGCCGATTCATCCCAGATGGTCCAAGTCCCAGGGTCCACAGCGGTAGCCCCCCGCACGTGGACTGTGATGAAATCGCCCAACGCACAGAACAACACAACTCTACCTAAACGACATGCACCGCCAGTGCGGATGAGCACGTAGTCGTCTCTCTTCACGCCACAACACCTCAACGCAGCCTCTGTAGGCGCATCCATCTGGACGCCTGCGATATCGAGTTTACGGCGCTTCGGCGTCGATATATAATGCTCGTCGAACTGGAACCGCCCCTCGACAACGCCTTGAACGTAACAGTTTTAATATCCAAACGTTGTCGTGTGCTCGACCTGGTTGTAAAAATGTACCACGCTCGTCTTCACGTCTTTGTGTTTCCGCTCTGGCGCAAAACACGAAATCACCTTACCCAGTCGCAGTAGGTCGTCGGGCACGTGCACCAAATGATGAAACTTCACCTTGGTAAACGTATGGTACAATCGGCGAAACAGCACCGCGTGCTCTGGAATGGCCCCCGCAAGCGTGGCGTGCAAGGCGCCCGTCATATCGCCCTCTCCTGATAGGAGCCCCAACATGAACGTTAACAGCTCGAAACATCGAACGTGGTCCGCGGGTACACGGCCAAAACACCTGTCCCGAAGAAATGCCAGCAACAATGGGCAAAGTCCGAGAACGTCGCTCGCAAACAACTTCACGCGGTCGTTCGCTGTGAAGCTCTCCGTGAACCACTCTGGCTTGGGAGGTGACGCGGTCAACTTGGGATGGATGTACAAGCGTGCGTAGGCGGCAATCTCGCACATTTCGATATTCGACCTCTTCAAACACGATGTGAGCGCCGCAATCTGAAGCCCCGCAACGCCATGCGATACCAGCGTGTTCTGCCAATCCCTGATGTAATTACTCACGGGGCGCAGCACGCTTCTCAAACGAGGATCGCACAGCATCCCATGCTCATTATAACTAATGCCCAGCTTCATTTCGAGCGCCTCCACCTTCGACGTCGATATCTGCCCGACCTGCGATACCAAGATATCGTGCATTCTCCAGAACGTGTCGTCGTCCAGCTGCTTGAACTTCGATTTATCTACGCAGTCCAGTCCGACGGTGTACTGGCCGTCGGCGTAGCCAGTCTTGTGGATAAAAAATCGCCACGTTCATGCACGAGATGCAGGGTTTCAGCCCTGCCGCCCCTTTAATGGCCAAGAACTCTTCGTGGCCTTTGTCACCAGCCATAAAACCGACCAGGCGAGCGCGAAACACCCGCACGGCACTTCCGTGGGGAACTACAAAGCCGCGTGTGAAGTTATGAGGCCCGTCAACGAACATGGCGACGAGAATCTGCTTCAAGAGGGCGCCCACTCCCCCAGGAATTCTCTCCACCAGCCCGGTGCGAACCCCACCCAAGCAAAACCAGCCCCCCGTTCTATGAAGGAGCCAGCCTGGTAGCTCCAGAAAGGCGTAATACAAATTCCACAACTGGCGCCCAACATCAGATCTCAAAGGGTTGCCTGGCGTCACCTCGCCACCGTAAAACACCAAGCTACAAGTAAACAGCGGTGCCTTGTCGAGCGCATCAGGCAGCATATTGGCAAACTTTTCGCTGATAGTCGACATATAATGCAGAAGCGCAAATGGGTGTACATGTTCCCACGGCCCGATGCCTGGGACATCCAGTGTCTGCACAACAGGTCCGTATGGCGTCCTCGCGCGGCCATGCATCCCCGCTGCTATCCTGCACTGGCGTAGCTCATCTCGTCCTCCGAGCTCCTCGTCCCTAAGCATGCCTTTCCTATTCAGCGTCTGCAGGATGCGGGCGACGCTCGCCTTCGAACCCCGCGAAGTGGCCAGAAGCTCCGGCCGCAGCTGCATCCCCGTCTCATCATCGATATCGATCGTGGCGGGTGCGCCCCGCTTCATGCTCGCAACACTGAACCTGGAACGGCTGTGGAAGAACGGCGATGGTGATGACGACGGCTGCGATGATACTAGAGACTGCGCGTGAGAATGCATATCTGCATGGTGAATGCAAGACGTTGTTGTGTGAATAATTATATTTGTATGTATATGCATGTATGTATGTATGCGTGTACGCATGTATGCATGCATGTGTATATGCATGTATGTGTATATGCATATATGTATGCATGCATGCGCGTTTGTATATCTATATATGTATGTATATGCACACGTGTCGACATCGATGCACATCCCTCGCGCGCGCAGCGGTGCACGTTTTCGAAAGGAGGGCGAAACGTTGTCGCACTCTGATGCACCTTGGCAAGCCACCTTCGGCAGCAGCACAAACGTGCACAGGCGCAGAGAATGATGGCAGACACAGGGCCGTAAGTGAAGTCCCGCATTCACGGGGGCGACTCGAAGCGGATGACGGGTCGCGATGGGAGGGGACGGGGTCGGCTTATTCGAGCGGGAAGGGTGGATCGGAGACGATGCCGTCAGTCGGCAAACGCCCCCATGGTAGCTCCAGAAAGGTGTAATACAATTCCACAGCATGCGCCCAGCATCAGATCTCGAACGTCGACATTCGATTTACGATTTCGATGTGATGGTACTTTCGCAAAGCAGATCACACACATCGTGCGTATTTGTGTCGCTCTGAGGCGGCTTGCAAAACTGGCGCGCAACACTTGCTGGGCGAGCTCGAAACACCTGCACATCACTTCCATTGGGCACTATATTATACAAAGCCGTGTGTGAAAATCTGAGGCCCGTCAACATGGCGACGAGAATCTGCTTCAAGAGGGCGCTCAGTCCGAGTCCTCCTCAGCCGCTGCATGCGCAGCCGCTGCCGCGCGCCTCGAGGCCCGATGCTGGTCTCGCGTCCGCGCATCGTCGCTGGCGGGTCCATCACACTCGGCGTCTTCGTCACCGTCTCCACCTTCACCACCTCCACTGTCCTCCTCTTCCTCATCCTCATAGTCGTCCTGGAACGAACCGCTCTCGCCGTCCTCGCCCTTCTCCTCGGAGGGCGAGGTGAACCCCGACCCTTGTTCGATGCCTATCTTTCGCCCCAAGCGCCGAACTTTGCCCCGAATCTCCCCGATGCGATTCATGGTCTCCACGTGGCGAGCCATCGCGAGAGCCTCCAGCGCCTCGATTCTGGCCAACACCTCCCCGAATCCTCCCCCCTTTCCCCCGCCCTCCCCCTCCCCCCTCTTCTCCCTCTTCCCCCCTCTCCTCCCTCTTCCACCCTCATCCCTCTACCAACCTCCCAGCCCCTCCTCGCGCATGGGATCAGCCGAGGCACTCGCCATGCCCCCCCTGCGGCGCGGGGGCCTGCACTTCTGCTAGGCGTAGTGCGTCAAGCCCTTGAACTGGAGCCAGCTCGCCGCTCGGGCCCACAACGGATATCGATGTCGATGTTTCTATCGAGTTCGATGTCTCTATCGGCGTCGATGTCGATGCTTTTATCGATGTCGATTTCTTGCCCCACAAAACCCCCATCTCAATGCTGGCCGATGGGCTTTCCGACGGACGGAGCTCGACCGCGGGGCGCGCAAGCAAACCGGCCATGGGAGATATATATATATTTGCCTCGGGGGCCCTCCATCCTCATTCCTCCATCCTCCATCTCCCCCTCCACTCTCAATCACCCATCCCCCCTCCTCCTCCTTCATGGTGATGGTGGCGATGATGATGATGGCGATGATGCTGCAGATGGTGATGAGGAAGATGATGATAATGACGATGATGGCGGTTATGATGTTGTGTTTTGTTCAAAGCGCGTGCCATACATCCCCAGCACATTCGTTCATCGTGGGCGTCGATGTCGATGTGTGCGCGGTTGCCCACGCCACCTCGGTATCGCTGGCATCAAACCACACCGCCCAGCATATTGAAAGACACGCTCCGTCGTCGATATCGATTGCGCCGTCAGTGGCGTGCTGATCGCACTACATGCGAGAGTGCACCCACGAAAAGAAACGCCTCATGCCTTTGCGCTTATGCATTGGCTTAGCTGGAGGCATGCCCTGCAAACCCAAAGCGCACAACAAGGCGCTGCACTTCTTGATGTCGAGCTTCATTCCGAGATCATCCTCATCCCGCTGGTGGTTTTCAGCATGACCATCTGGTGCACACGGCTACAATAGAAGCACACGTCGTCCTTCCCATCATCGTCCTTCTTGCACTTGCACCCCTCCTTCACGTAGCGCCCCAAGAAGTGAGTCTTCAGCATCTTGCGGTACGCGAGCGTGCCCCAGTACTTCGGGTATAAGATGCCGTCCTCGTCAGCCCGCTGCTTTATCTGCACCAACCTCCACGGCTTGGGCCCCTCCAGGTACGTCACCATCTTGACGGCCTTCATCGGGTGGAACTGCACCTTCTTGTCCATGTCGCCCGCGGGCTTGGCGGGCTTGTATTTCTTCAGCGCTGGCTGGAGGCCGGGCTCGTCATCGCTCAAGTCCATGCTCGGGCTGAGCGTGAAGCTCGGTGGAGTAAGCGCTCCCCGCATGACCTCGTCCTTCGGCGGGAACGGCGTCATATTCTCCAGGCCTGACGGAGCGGGGTGGAAGAGCGGAAACTGCAGGTGCGGGGCCGTCTCCGTCTGCGCTGCAGAACTGGCGAAGGACATCGGCACGAACTGCAAGGATCGATCGGCGATTGCGAGTCTACGTGGGCTTCGATCGTCGACGTACAATTGGAACGAGCCAAAATGGCTGTGGCTGACGGTAATAGGGGAGGCCGCGCTAGACGATGCAGGGGGCGGCCTCGGAGTAGAGTGAGAATAAGATCGTAAAGTAAGATGGTATACTATGACAGTAGAGCACGCCACGATGTACGATAATCGAATGCCTGTCTGAGCTCGTCTCATCTTCGGCTCCAGGCTTCCTGTATCTAGTCTCTACTATCTTACCCTCACTCTACAATCGTTTACTGTGTTACTGCGGAGGAGAGAGAGAGAGAGAGAGAGAGAAAAAAAAGAAAACAATGGATGTGTTCGGTTCACATTGAAACAGTCAGAAGGGCGTCACTCCCAGTGACGCGCTGCGTGCAGACGCCTATAACGATATCGATATGAGTCCGTGTTGCCCGACGTCGATGGTTGGATAACGTCTCCCCGTGGCACATGCGAACCTGACCGTCTGCGCACTGTGCGAAAATATAACACAAGATGCAACTGCAAATGCAGACGCTGTTGCCCCACGCCAGCGTAAAACAATGCTCAGCTGAGCGGGGTCGCGCTCCAATCGTGACTTCACTACGGCGAGCGCCACTCCGTAAACTTCGATAGCGATATCACTGCGAACAAAACGAATATATCGGCGTGCCCTGCAGGGAGCGCTGTGCCCAGCGTAGCGCACCAACTTAATTCGGAACCCGGAGCGCTGCTGCACCGCCTACCAGTTCCCCTTGTCACCGTCGGCCCACTCGACCACAGCCTTCCACGCCTTCTTCTCGTCGCCGCCGTACGCGCCCCAGGTCCCCCAACTGAACATCTTGTCCAAGATAACGCCCACCTTCTTGACCCGCCACTTGGAGTTCTTCTCGTCCGTATAGATGGCATAATCCTTGCACGAGATGGGGGGCTGCTTCTTGAGCGCGGGTAGCGGGGGCGCCTTGGTCGACGTCGATGCTGGGCAGGCCTTGGCCTTGGCCTTGGCCTTGGCCTTGCCTTTGGCCTTGGCCTTAGCTTTGGCCTTGCCCTTGCCTCTCGTCGTCTCGGTATCCTGCAGCATCTTCTTGATGTACTCGTCGATCTCCTCCTGCCGTACCGTGGGCCCCCCGCTGGCAGCGGCGGGCTTCTTCATAGCTGGAGGCTGCTCCTCATCGTCTTCGTCGTCATCGACTTCGGCGAGCGCGCGCTTCCTCGAAGCTTGGAGTGGCGGCGTCCCCGAGCCAGGATCCGTCACGGCGCCCTTTGGAGCGGGCGTCGTCGGCGGCTCGAGGGATCCTGCTGATGAGGTCCTCCGCAAGCCCGATGGGGGCCAATTCAAGAAGGTCAGCGGGATGTCGCCCTGCCGCGGACCCCCTCCTGCCGATGCGTTGCCCATGAGCTGGCCGAACATGTTAACCATCGTGCTCATCTGCTGCATGAATGCGCCATGCTGCCTGCTGTTCGGGTTCGGGCGCTCGAACGGGACCATGCTGCTGCTGCCCCCCGAGGGGTGCTCATGTATTCCGTTCGTCTTGCGGGCTTTCGTGATCTGCCCTGCTTGCAGGAGCAGGGCCTCGCTAAACTGAGGCTTGGGGAGCACGGTAGCCCCGAACACCTGCGGCTCGATCTCGACGAATTGCGACACAAGGAGGGGGTAGTTGCAGACGGACGATTGCACCGAGCGCCTCGATGCACGTTTCTTCTTGATATGCTCCTCTGGGCAGCACGCGACCCCCATCGGACGCCCAGCCTCGAGCATGTAGCCCCGTGGGGTGCCCTAGGGGGAGCAGGGTCGTCTGGTTGAGGCCCCTGGATCGCCAACAAATTCAATAAAAGGCCGGGCAAAAACTTGAAAAAAACTGGGTGGCAACCTTGGCCCGAAACATGAGATGGCGATGTGGACGGAGAGGGAGGGGGCAGTGGGGATGGGGGAGAGAACGAGAGTGTGGGTGATAGTGGTTACTCGATGTCGACACTTTCGGGGCCTCTCGATATCGACGTCGCCTCTTCCTCCTCCTCAACCACCTTCTCCTCCTGATCCTGCCCATATAACCCCCGACCCCGATGCTGAGACCTGGGCGCCCGATGCGGGGGTCGCACATTCGACATCGAGTGCGATGTCGATGTCGAGTCCTTGAGCTGGTTCTTGTACTCGAACGCCTGCGCGGGCGCAGGCCCCCGACCCGCGGCGATCTCGCTCGCGACCGCGAGGGCGGCCAAGCGAGGCACCATCTTCTGGTCGGGGTAGTGCAGGCCGAGGGTGTGCACGAAGTACTCGCCAACCTTATCGAGCTTCGCCTCGACCCCCAGGTGGGGGTCCTGTAGCAGCGCCCACATCTCCGTCGTCAGGTAGTGCTCTGGATACTGGTGCGTCTGGTACTGCACGTTGAAGTTACGCCCGCCACGCTTGCCCGTCATGGCGATGTCCATCGTCACCGACTCCGTTACTGCAGTTATCAGCTCGCGCTTCTGGGCGGCCGTGAGGATGTCTGTCGCGTTGATGGCGTTTACGGTCTGAGTCGCGTCATCCCTGGCGCAACCACCACGACGGACGATCATCTTCATGTGGGCGACCTGGCGCTCGATCACCTGGGCCCGATCCTCATCCTCCATCTGGGCGGTCACCGCCCGCGCGAAGTCGACGACGCCCTTGAAGGTGGCGAGACACGACGCCCTTGCGGAGGGTGCCGCCGCCGCGCTCGCCATGGCGATGACGATGCGGACGCGCTTCGATATCGATTGCACCTATGCGCTACGAGCCCAAATGGTGACGGTAAGATGGCGATGCATAAGGCCCTGCCCCCTCCTCCAGGCCCTCCCCCCTCTTCCAGCCCACCTCTTCCTGACCTCCCACGCGGCCCCTGAGGCGCTGGGGGCGCCGATTTGGGTGGCCCGATTCGCGACCACCTCGATCGCAGTCGACGTCGGTGGATGACGAGGTGATGGTCACCATGACCATCACCTCGCCGTGGCTTTGACGAGGTGATGGTCATGGTGACCATCACCTCGTCACCAACTGTGAGGTGATGGTCATGGTGACCATCACCTCGTCACCAACGATGAGGTGCTGGTCATGGTGACCACCACCTCGTCACCAACTATCTTCGCCCATGGCCGTTGGGGTGGCTGAGCGCGCCCAACGATTGCCCATGTCAGCGCTCGCGCGCGCCTCGTTCGGCACCCCGTCGCATCAATGGTCCATCGTTCGTCAGCCTGATGTCCCCCCGCTTCCCCCACTCCCTCCACCTGCTCATGCCACTCCAACTCCCCATCCTCCTCCTCCTCGGCGGGGGGGGGGCGGCCTTCGCCTCGACGGTGCCCACGACGCGCGGCGCGGCGCGGCGAGAGGGCAGCGGCGGCGGGGGGGGGCGGCGAGAGAGCATCAGCGAGGGAGCATCGATAGTCGATGCGACGACGACGACGGCGACGACCACGATGAGGGCCATCGCGAGGCCAACAGCGTGCTGTACAAACTGTTCAAGGAGATGGGGGAGGGGTTCGTCCACGAGTGCGCGGCGAACGCGCGCCAGGCACGATGTTTTTTTGCATCTGCAGCGGCGCCGTCTCTAGCCGAGATCGACAGTCGACTTTGCCCTGCTCCTTGCGCATATCATCTGCGGCGCTGCGAGGGCCTAGGCGGGGCCCTCGAGGGCCGCGGCTGCGGTGCCTCGCTGCGCGACGCCACGCGCGGCTCCACCGCGTCCTCGACCATCAAACTTGGAAACACAAGTCGACATCGATTCATCAGCAGGCCGCGAAAGGGCCCCCATGTACCCTAAGGGGTCCCAAGAGAGGTGGCGCCCGCACTTTAATATACACCGCAGCCTCGCACCGTGAGCACAGGAGGTTGCGTCGTCGTCGGCCTCGTCGTCACTGTCGTCGTCGTCGTCGGCCTCGTCGTCGTCACTGTCGTCGTCGTCAGCCTAACGACGCCACTGGCCCGTGTGGTACTGCTGCTCCAGGGCCTGTCGCGCGTTCGTCACGCACTTGTGAACGAACTTCGACGGGTTCGTGAGGCTCCCCCCGCCCATCTTCTTGAACAGCTTGTACAGCACGTTGTTGGCCTCGCGATGACCATCATCGCTGAACTGGGCCAGGAGGAAGACGCTCTGCTGGGCCGTCTCGTCGATCTCGTATTGACGAAGAAGGCCGAGCCAGGCGCGAGGCTCCCGCTCGAACGTGGCCCAGTCGGGCTCCTGTACCTCCTCAGCGACCGCAGGCGCCTCCTCCGCGGCCGCCTTCCATCGACACCGATGTATTGAGCAGGCCTGTATTTCGATAGTCGGGGGCCATATGTGTGGCCAGGGACTCGGGGCAGGGGGCGGGGTCATGACCACTCGGGGCCACTCAGGACCAGGGGGGGCAACGCTGGACTACAATGTGGTTCACGTGAAACGGCCTTCTGTTCCACCCCCATGCTCACTGGCGTTGCAGATGATGAGTTAGCGTCGACAGTCGAGGTGGCTTCGCCAGCTGCTCGAGGATCGACTTCTGATAACGACTCGGCCTTGGCGCCGCCATTCCATTCGTTGGAGGGGAGGGGCCAAATGTTTCGACATCCAAGCGGAGGAGGTCTCGAAATAGACTTGGTGCCCAGAATGAGGACGAGGGAGAGGATGACGAGGGGGAGGAAGCGGGGGGGGAAGGAGGAGCAAGATGAGGGGCAGAGGGGCGGTGGGCGAGATAGCTGGGTGTGTGAGCGAACTGAGACAGACGTATGTGCTGAGGCTCCTGGACCGCCAAAAGAAACAATCAAAGGCCGAGCAAACAACTAAAAAAAGCCGGGTGGAAACCTTTGCCCGAAACCTGGAGATGGCGATGTGGACGGAGAAGGAGGCAGCATGGGGGAGAGAACGAGAGTGCGGGTGGTAGTGGTTACTCAATGTCGACGCTTTCGGGACCTCTCGATATCGACGTCGCCTCCTCCTCCTCAGCCACCTCCTCCTGCTCCTGGTACCTCTCCTCTTCCTCCGCAT